TGGAGCCACAGAGGCATGTGATCGATGATGTATAGTGTGCCTGGGGAGAGACATATGGAGAGAAAAAACATTCTCTCAGGCTTTCACAGAGAGCAAAGTGGTCAAGCAATGGCTGTGACTCATCCTCATGGCTGACACTGACAAAGGACCTACAAAGTGTGGTACAGGACTACAAGATAAATCCTGTGGGTACTTGACTGACCTTATCAGATGCAAAAGTTACATTTCTTGTTATATAGGTCTTGCTTTATCTTGGTCTTAACCATCCAGCAGAAAAGTATAAAAATGAGGTATATAAAGTAAAGCCATATTAATACGATGAGCTGTAAAAGGCTCAAGTCAATAACTTCTGAGGTAACCCACTAATATTATAGACTGCTAGACAGTGTTGGATCATTTTGCTGAATTCAAACACCTATAGTATTTAGAAGTCAATAGAATACCCACCTCTGACAGGACTAAACAAAAAAAGGGGATACAAAGGAAAGATCATTTTGTATTTATATACACAAAATAGGGGCTGGGGAGATGGCTCAGTAGAATAAGCACTGCCCTGGCAAGCGCAAGGGTCTAAGTTCAATCCCCAGTTCCACAAAAAAATAATAAATAAATAAATAAAAATATATATACAAAATAGTTAGGATAGATATATAGCTACTTTCACTTAATTCAATGAGAAGAAAGAGGTGTACTAATAGTGTTTGGACAGGACATCCTGTCTGCTTCTCGTACTATGGATAACCACTAAGAAGATAACAATGTACAATGTATTGATTATTGAAACTGTCCTATTAATCAGCTTTGAAACTGTCTTATTAATATTTGTTTCTCAATAAAATCAAATAAAATATAAATAAAAATTATTTGCTAACAGTAAAGAGAGAGAGAGAAAGAGAGAGAGAGAGAGAGAGAGAGAGAGAGAGAGAGAGAGAGACTGTGCGTGGTGGCGCACCCCTGTAATCCCAGCACTTGGTAGGCTGAACACAGGAGAATCACTACAAGTCTGATCTACATAGTGAGACACTGTAGACCCTTACTAAAATACAAAAAAAAAAAAAAAAAGAAAAGAAAAAGAAAAAGAAAAACCAACAAAATGATCAAATATTTCAGGTCTTTCATAATCATGCTCTCTAATCACCCAGTAACAGACAATAATTTGTGCCCCAATCCTGCACCAGCTCTTGTGAAACTACATGTTCTTTTTATTCTAAACTTCTCCTTTCCTAATCTAACACTCAGTAATTTAAATAATTCAAGAGCAAATACATAGTTTAATTATTTCCTTTCCAATCTTGGGGAGGGAGGCTGTGTTATTGCTTACTGGTAGGCCCTCGTGCTTGCCAGGCAGCCACTTGTGCCCTGAGCTATAGCCCAGCCCCCATCCTAGCTTTTATATACTATTTTGTCTTTGTGTATACATGTGGTGATGGGCCTAGACCCAAGGGTGTGTACATCCTAAGCATTCAGGCTACCGCTGACTATATCTCTAGCCCTTGATACATTACTCTTAAGCAGAATTTGTAATTAGAAATTTCTTAGCTTAGGGCTGGCCAAATAGCTCAGTGCCTGCCAGGGGCCAGTGTTCGATCCCCAGGCCTGCCATGCCAGCCCCACCCCTGGGGCATGCTGAGATGCCAGATGAGGCTGGGCGTGGTGGTGTACGCCTGTAATCCCAGCTCTTGGGAGGCTGAAAACAGGCAGATCACTACAACTGCAATCTAGTAGTGAGACCCCGAACACCCTGTGGACCCTTCCCTAAAATACAGAAGAAAAAAAAATGTCTTAGCTAAGTCAGACATGGAGGTGCATGCTAGTAATGCTGAGGCAGAAGGATCACAAATGGAAAGTCCAGCCTGAATAGAGAATGAACCACTGTTACAGTGGCTGACATATCACACTACATTTCTGTGATTTTTCTCAGTGCCTTCACAGCATAACTGATATCAGCATAACTGATATATATATACACACATATTGCAGGGTCTCACTACACAAATCGGACTCATAGTGATCCTGTTTTCAGCCTCCCAAGCACTGGGATTACAGGTGCACCCCACTAAGCCCAGCCTCATTTGCCATCTCAGCACACCCTGGGGGTGGGACTGGCATGGCATGCCAGGGACTGAACCTTGAATCCTGGTCCATGTCTTCCTAAGGAGGCACTTTAATCCCACAGCATAACTGTTAAATGCTCTTCTCTTGCAAGAGTTCATAGCACATGCCTGTAATCCTAGCACTCAGGAGGTTGAGGCAGGAGGACTGCTATGAGTTCAAGGCTGGCTTGCACTATATAGTAAGACCCTATCTCAAAAGGAAATAAATTTTAAAAATTAAATAAATTAAAATTAAAGCAGGGAAAAAAATAAAGTAAAAATAAATAAAATTAAAGCAGGGGCTGGGAAGATGGCTCAGTAGAATAAGCGCTTGCCTGGCAAGCACATGGGCTTGAGTTCAATACCTGGTTCTGCTAAAAAAAAAAAAAAAATTAAAGCTGACCTGTTTGCTTAATCCAAGTAATGTTGATTATGATAGTGTTGATCTGGTATTTTCTGTGTATATATTTGAATTTTAAAATATTTTTAGATCCAGGCATGGTGGCACAAGTCTGTAATCCCAGCATTCTGGAAGCTGAGGCACGAGTTCAGTGCCAATCAGGGATATATAGTGAGCTCAAAGCCAAAGTGGGAAGGAAGAGGTAGACTGTTGGTTCTCCTGGAGGAGATTATCATACTGGCTTTCCTGATAGAAACTGAGCTGTTCTCAGTTTGAACTTGCAGTCCTCCTGTCTCAACCTCCCAGAATGCAAGGATTACAGGCCTGTGCTTTCTGTTTAAAGGTATTGTTTCCACCCAAGGTTACATTGATGCACACACAGCTTTTTCACATTCCCTATTTTCAATTAGCTGCTAATCTAGAAAATCCAGTTGCCACAGATTCTCCTGATTATAGTCACTGTTTTGTATTCCTATCTACCATATTTTGGGGTAAATATTTTTATTTAAATCCTAATTATATCATATTTTTACTTAAATACTAATTATCTCCCACTTAAAGTATAAATGGACTCCACTCTACAGTATCCAGATCTAGTTTCTTTCTGTTTGGAATTCTAAATATTTAACTTTATTACTACCAAAAGAATCTTCCTAAAAAAAAAGAAAGAAAAAGAAAAAAGAAAGAAAAGAATGTTCCTAAGGGTCAGTTCTTCTCCCAACAAAAGGGGCAGTTCTGATCTGCCATTCTCTTGCCTAAAATGTCTTTCTTTTTTTTTTTT